GGTTTCGATGGTGGGGAAGAGGCGGCTAGGGGTTTTTATGCGGTGGGGGAGGTCATTTAAGGATTTTGGGTGGTCGGGGGTGGGATTTCAGGGTTTTTGGGCTGTGTGATTGGTGGTTTTGGGCGAAAGGGAGCTACTGGCGCGGGAGAGGGGGTTCTGGCCGGCGCGTGGGTGGGGAAGGGGGTTCTGGCCGTCGCAGTTGTTGTGGGAAAGGTGGTTCGTGAGTGTTGAGGAAGGACGTTTGTGGGTGGAGGCTAGGCATTTTTTTTAAAGTTTTTTTTTTTTTAATTTTCAACCAATCACATAATGATATGTGTCACTTTAACCTATTATAACAGGTTAGTAACCAGTTAGGGACCAAAGAAAGCGAATACACCCCTAAGTTCGGATTATTTAATAATAATTCAAAGTTGGGATTATTTAAAGCAAATACGTGAAAGTTAGGATTATTTTTACCAATTTTTTCAAAGGAAAAAGAAAATTTTATCATGTACCCTATAAAACCGTAAGGAACCAACATTATTATTGTCCACCCTAAATTCTATTAGTCTAAAGTAGATTAGTATTACAGTACTAAAAGTTTAAGATTACTCACATTGTTTTAAAAAAATATCATTTTCTTATATACATGATAAAATTTTATAATTACACTATCCTACATAATTTTATTTGTTATAATCAAAGTAATATAAGAATTCTATTCATACGTGGAAACAATTTGATATTTCTATAAACCCTCATACCTCACCCTTGCTCAACAACATTAGTTAACATTCAATTTCAGCGCATGCCCTCTCTTACTCTTTGACGCTCAACTTCTCACAAACAACTTTTATATAAAGGTAAACTTTCAGCTAGGCCACGAGACAGCGACGCTTGGCATTTGAACTTGCCAAGTGTCTCACCACGTAGGCAAAAATTAAATATTATTATGGCATGTAGGATTTATTTGGATATATTTTTTATGAATAAAAAAGTTGTTTTTTTATAATAGAATAAAAAGTAGGACAGATTTTGTAGGATACAAAAAAAAAGTTATTTTAGAGTTTCATTTTCATTAAAATTTGGTAGATTTATAGGATAAAACTAGGTTAAGTCTCGTGCCATGCACGGTCATAATTTAATATTAGGAGATTTTTTATTTTAACACCAGACGAACCCGAAAATGGTTTTAACACCTCCAAAAAAAATGTATTTTAACACCAGACAAATGTTACAAAAATGGTTTTACCACCACTTAACGGTCTCAGTCCAAAAATTTCGTTAAGTGGAGTTCACAGTGACACGTGTCACCATTTTACTTGTTTTTAAAAAATAAAAATTAAAAAAAAGAAAAATTAAAAAAATAAAATAAATTCTTAAAACTACCCATCCACCCCAGCCCCACCACCGCCACCTTCTTCTCCACCCTCACCTAGTGCGGCCGCCGGCGCATCCCTCCCTCGTTTACCCGACCCACCTGAACCTCCCCTTCCCTTTCCCCAGCCCTAAACCGCCCTTAACACCACCAATAGCACCGCCAAACTCCCAAACCGCAACCTTCCTTCCCCAAAATCGGTGACAAATTCAGCCATTTATGGCTAAAATCGGCGACGAATTTGGCCATTTATGACTAAAATCGACCGGTTTTGGGCTGAGTGGCCTTAACCGGCCGATTTTGACCATCAATGGCCGAATTCGTGGCCGTTCTTGGAGCAACAGTCATAAACTCAAAGCAAATCGAAAACCAGAGCAAATAAAAATTTGTGGCTGGTGATGGCGACGGAGTGCAAGTGGCGACTGCAGGTGCGGTGGCTAGAGGTTGTGATTTTTGTGTGGCTGTTCGGTCAGTTATTGGTGGCGATTAGAGGCAGCGGTGGTGCAGGGCTGCTATTGGGTTTATGCGTGAGGTGATTGAGAGGGGGGTGGTGGAGCTGTTGTGATTAAAAGGGTGGTTTAGGGCTACGGGAAAAGGGTGGGGATGGATTTAGGTCGATCGGTGAGGGAGGGAGGGGTGGTGCGCCGGTGACTGCGTCGGCGGCTATGAATCAAGGTGAAGAAGAAGGTGGCAGCGGTGGGGCGGTGGTGGGGCTAGGGTGGCTGGGTAGTTTTAGGGTTTTTTTTATTTTTTGTTTCTTTTTTGGCTAATAATAAAGCGACACGTGGCTCATGACCCATTTTTGGAGGTGTTACAAACCATTTTCAGGTTTTTGTCTGGAGTTAAAATAAAAAATATCCTTAACATTATAACAAATAAATTATAAATAATAGTGTTAATTCAACAATGATTTATCAAAAAAAATATATATTTGTGACAAAATAACTTGAATTTTAGTTTAATTTTTACCAATACCAAATTGATGAGTGTCATTTATAGGGCTCATAGGGTAGTGTTTTAAGTTGTTTTTCCCTTCTATTTTTAGTTTTCTTTCTTAATAATTGCTTAGTTTTATTCATTTGTTTCTTCATTCTTCCTTATTTTATGTTTTTCTTGCGTTTAGGGTTATTTTCGTCTTTTCTCTTTTACTCGCTTTGCTTTCCTTGATTTAGGTCTCATTCGGGGCTCGAGATTTATTTTAGAAGATTTTCCAAGTCTTTTTTATGCTCAGGACGTGACCTCGTACCATTCGGATGCCTAGGGATCAAGTAAAGAAGCAAACTCCAATTCAAAGCCTCGCGCTCTCGTGCCACGCTCTCATTACAAAATGGTGTTGAACTTGTAAAAATAAGGATTGGAAGGCTGCCTCCCTCATGAGCATCATGTGAGAGTGTCGATGATGAGGATGCATGTGCGCGCGCTGGTGGGGAGCTGCCAAGTGATGCGGGGAGTGTTGCTGGTGTGCGAGAGGAAAGCTGCTGCTGCTGGTTATCTGTCGCGCCACGGTGGACTGCACCACGCCACGGCAAGGGCTGTCGCGCCACGTCAGATGTTGTCGTACCATGGCAAAATTCGGCACTTCACGGCAGGATGCACTGTGGCATGGCATCTCTAATTTGTGCTCAATGCTCATGTTGCGCATATCTTTAAGGGGAACGTACCCTGTAGTGCCTGCACACGATCCCCCTGGTGTGTGTACACCACAGGTGCTTAGGGTCCGGTTTTTATTCTTCTATAAATAGGCCTAGTCTTTGCTATTTCTCAAAACATAACAATATAAAAAAAAATTTAGATCTTTATAATTAGCCTTAGGTTGAGAGCTTCTCTCTCTCTAGATTAGGTTAACGTAGGAGTAGTTTTAGAGAGAGAAAATGAGTGATTTCAATGGTGATTTGAGAGATTGAAGATGCAAGGGTGACAATTGTATTGAATATCTTCTCAATTATCATTTAGCATTTCTTACTCTATCTCATCTTATTGATTTCCTTAATTTCATGTTTGTTTGATTTAGTTTTGATGATTGATTCTTTATTAGTGTATTTGTTCTTCGTGTTGATTGATTCTTGATTACATTTACTTACTTGCCTTTATTGGATGATGATTGTTTGTGAGTAGTTGTTTTGCTAGGGTTTTGGTAAAACTTGTATGATTGATTGATTGTGATTAATTTTGGAATTATGGTGATTGATAGTTGAGATTAAATTGATTAATGGAAGTTTGCATGTGCTTAGTTTGATTATGCCTTGAGAGCTATGCTAGATTGCATTGTAGATCCTAATGAAATGACCACTTCATTTAGGATTTGCAATTGTTAATTGGTTTGGACTGTGATTCTCTTAGTTTGTTATTCATAGAGGAAACCTAGCTTGACGATTAGGAGATAGCTCTTTGATTCCAATTGATAGCTCTTATCATTAGTCTTCACAACCATTGATTGGCTTGACCTTCCCAAGTTGTTGCAATTGTCATGATTACATGTTGATCCCCATTCCCTAGTGTTTCATTTGTTTGATTCTTGTTTGTTTTGGTAGTTGAATAGTCTTTCCTCACCTTCGACGTCGACCTAGCTTAGGCATTAATTCAAAGCACTTGAACATAACCGTTGCTAGTGGTTCAACCCTTGACTTACCTCTATACTTGTATTTAGGTTTATTGAGTGATTATAAATTTTTTTGGCTACTCTATGGAGGATTAGTCAACGACGTCGTTTGTTCTTGAATTGGATTGTATAAAAAATAATATAGTAATAAAAATTCAGAAATTATAAGGTTTTATATAAGAAAATTAAAATATTAGCTTAGGTTAGTACCCATATAAGAACTCATATCATGTATCCTTACATTGTTGGCACACTTTGATCGGCATAATATGAAAGTTTAGTTGATTTTATTTTACTTTGGAATAATTAGTATTTCGTAATCAACTTTTTTAAATATATTTTTAGTGAGTAGTATGGGTTTTTATTTTTTAGATAATCACATAAATTTTAGAGTAATCATATTTAATTTTCCAATATAAGTTATGTATACTATAACAAAATGGATTTGTTCTTATAAACGTTATGTAATTTTAAGATTTATACAAAGTATGCTACAAAAATGATTTTTCTTTTTTAATTAAAATAAATTTTTTGTCTAATGATAAAAGTCGGAGAAAAAAATTTGATACAAAGTATTGATAATATTATAAAAATCTTTGAAAATAATATATTACTGTACCTTATTTTTAATCTATGTTAGTATTTTTGTAACTAAAGGTTTCCTAGTATATAAAATATATGTAAGTAAAAAAAAATTGAGTATAATTGGATTAAATATGTTGTCAAAATGGATGACTATTATTGTAGGTTATAAAATATGGCCAAAAAGGAATGGAAAAAAGGTGGAAACATGTTTAACCAGGAAATGACAAGTGTCATTATAGGTTTCGCCTTTAATATAAAGTTATTGATTGTTGGTTTACAGTTTTATTTCCAATAAAATACCTATATTTCACAGGTACAAAATAAATTGTAAGTTTAGCCAGATCACGAGACAACGACACTTGACATTTCAACTTTTCACCAAATGTCGCGCTACATAGACAACAGATTAATAATTTATCATATAAATTTATTTTTATATCATAAAATTTTTTGGAGCAAAGGAAGTAATTCAAAACGTACAACATTCATTTATAATACGAAGTATATCCTAACCGATTAAAATAAAATACTTCACAATCTAATATGATTTTATTACTTTATGTAGAACTCTCAATCGGATTGGATCACGGGTCATTTCGAGTTGAGTCACTTCAGGTCATGGGTCAAGAAATGTTCACACTAGCCCAAAGTTTCGGGTATGGGTCAACCTAACGGGCTTAGAACAATTTTTTTTTTTTTTACTTTATTTTTGGCTAATTTTTAAAAATTTCTAATATTTCGAGCTTACTTTGCTATTTTTTTATATAATTTTTTAAATCAAACATTTTCACCAATATTATAGTCATTACATGCCTACTAAATAATTTAAATCGTCATATGTATAGGTATAAATACACATAGATACACACATGTATATAATTATTAGAGGAGAAGCTTCAAACACAATGCCACATTAGCTATTATTGCACCAAGTATTGAACTTCCTCGTGTTCCTGCAAGAAATGAAGAGAGCTGAGATTCGTGGGCATTTACTAACATAGTCAATTAGTCACTACAATACGAGGAAGTTCTTTATTAGGAATTATAAAAATTGACTATTTAGTTGATCATATGGCTAATTGGCTATATAAAAATTGATTATTTAGTTGATATGGCTAATTGGCTATATTGGTAACATTAGCATTTAGCAAAAAGGTTTTTCATTAAGTCAACCTTAGGGCATGCTTGGATTGAGGGAAATGTATTATTAGGGTAATAAAAGTTAAATTAAGCAAAATGAAAATAAATAGAGAAGGGGGAGATAGTGATGGTGTGCTTGTAAGAAAAATTTTATAGTAATGTTGAGATATGAGGTGAATAAAGAGGCTCATTTTGGGGGTAATAGTTACACTAGGGGGAGGGTGTGTAACTATTACCCTCATTATGAGGGTAATAATTCCTCCATTTCTCTCTTTTTCTCATGCAACAACTACCTTATTTCAAACGTCTTACCTCCTACAACAACGCCTCTAATTACTTGTGTTTTTTAAAGTTTGAGTTTTATTACCCCCTAATATATTACCCCTAATCCAAGCATGCCCTTCGAAAAGTTGAATACCGCATATTTTATCGACCATAATTCAAAACACAAAATTACTAATTTCATGCACTAGATATCGAGAATACATGAACATCATAGAGTTTGCATTTCCTTTTTTCAAGTGAAATATTGTGGAGTATAAATTTTGGCACTATTTATTAATTAGTTTTCGTAAGGTCTCGTTCTATTTACCTTATTCCACTTATTTCAGGAAAATTAAGTTCAAATAAGGGTTAATAAATTCTAATAAGATAAGTTAAGGAAAAAGAAGTTTATTAGAGTAGTTGTGATAAGTGTTAACCAGAGCTACCTAAGTTCAATTTATAACTAAAATAAGTTCCAATAAGGGCTAATACGTTCAGATAAGTAAAAATCAGGTGAATAGAACACATAATTTTTTTTTAATTAAAATTTTTTTTTCACTAAAATTGTAGCACTTGTTTATTTTAGTTCAGATAAGTTCAGTTCAGGAAAAATAAGTTCTAATAAGGGTTACCCTAAGTACAAATCTAATATCATATCACTAATAAATAAAGTCAGTCTCGCAGCCTAGCGACACTTGGCATTCCAGTTTTTCGCCAAGTGTCCACCCACGTAGGCGACAAATAGATATTATTGTGATTAGATTAGATGCCACATTAGATTATATTGGATAGATTTGTTTAGGATAAAAAAGTATAAATAAAATAATTTAAAATTCTTTTGAAAAAAAAATTATTTTTTTATTGACAATAGAATTTTACTTATAGCAACAACACACCACATATTATAATTAATATAAATATCCAATTAACAATAGAATTTTACTCCTATACGAATAACCACGTAATTATAATTATAAATATAGTCATGTATCAGTAAGTTTTTTTTAGTCTACCATTGATTTACATTAAAGCTTTTGAATTAGGTATTCTACATATTCGGTTTTAATATATTTGTCTATGTTTGTGATGATTTTGTTAATGAAATTTAAAAAGTCAAAAACTACTAAAATTAGGACACAACATAAACCTGTACAATACAAGAAAATCTTGAAGTGAATTCAGATCAATGTAGCAAGGTCTTAGAACTTTACAAGTTTTACAAAGTCTCCGTAGCCCATTTACCAGCAATATATTACTAATGGTCTAATTAGGCCAGTAATATAATATGTTGATTTTACATGTAAAAAAATTAATTACTTTTTCTATTTATTTTATTAATTTTTTTACTGACGCACTCTTCTTTTTCACAAAATTATACTCTCTCTATTATTTTAGTGTCCCATTGAAATTTAGCACATATGTCGACATAGAACTTTGATAAAAAAAATATATCTTAATTATATATATTTTTTGAGTATAATTCACAAACATTGGTCGTAGTAGACCAAGTGAATTGCATAAAATGCAACTTACAAATACAGAAAATAATAACAAATATAAAAAAAGAATAATAGGTAGTGTTTCTACTCTCTTTTTGTATAAAAAAAAATAAATACTAATAATAATAATAATAATAATAATAATAATAATAATAATACAAAACATGCCCACGAATAAGTACACTCTTTAAAATGGGTATTCGGGATAATGCCCGGGGCACATATTAGTATATATATATAAAGGGAATTTTTTTCCCAAGTTTTTACTGTGCCACGTAGGATTTTAATTTTTTAAAAAAATATTAGAGCGCCACTTAGGATTAATATTCCTAAAGCACTACAATCGAATTATGCCACGTATGATTAGTTTTTTTAAAAGCGCTACATTAGATTATAATAAAAAAAATAATAAATAAAAAAAAAGCGCCACGTAGGATTAATAATTTTAAAACGCTACAATAGGATTATGCCACGTAAGATTAATTTTAGAGTGTCACATAAAAAAAATGTTATATTTTAGCCAATGAAAAAAAAAGAATGAAACTTTGTGAAATAAAATTTTATCTAAATATGAGAAACAAAGTTAATAATTCATTTTATAATAAAAAAAATTCAAATAGTAAGCAAGCGAATATTACAAAATTTATTAGATAAATATATATTTAGTAAAATATTTTATTTGAAAAAATATAAACAAACCGTGCATCACACCGACTTAGCTCAAATCCCGAAAAATATTTTATAGATGTTAATTGAACGGATTATAAATTTAAATTACCTGAAAATGAAGATGGCGATACATTTAAATGCCGTGCTATATATCCCTCAAAATTCCATGGACGACTTAGCTCCTCGTTCGATAATAAGTAACTTAATCGACAGATGGGCGAAAGTATTTGTGCATATGTTACGTCCTTAATACTATTAGGGGTCATGAACCATTCGAAAATTCCTTGCAAGCATGTACTGCAATTTGTGGAGGCAATATACGGATTACATTGCCCGACTGCGTACAAGGTCTCAGTCGACGAGTATTTCTCTGATGTGGTAGCAAAGTTACGGGAGGAAGTATTAAACTCCGAACTCACGTTATTGATGAGATTGCTTATGGTTTTGTCCAAAATCTGCCTAAAATTGGATTGCTCTTCCACAGTTAAATTTCGACCACCATTTGTGGCCATCCTTGACATACCTTCCCTTTCAGTAGAGATTGAATTGTTAGAGTAATATACCATACACTCTTCAAAATATCTGTCGCTTTCTTTATTTGGAAGGCATGAATGAGCTATTTCAAAGGCACTTTCTACACAACTTTTACAAGTTTGAAGTGAGAAATCGTATCGACAATAGTATAAGGCGTCGAACTGGTCTGAGCCGGAGCCGGTTGATATATTGCTGAAGTATGTGTTTGATGCATTGGATATGAGTTGAGTTATGGCTTTGTCGATGTCGGTTTGAGATTTGTATTCATCATCCTTACCACCACCTTGACATGATCCGAAAATATCATGAGTAGGTTGCGAGTTGATACGAATTAGGAATATCGAAACGATGAAGAAAAGAGTGATTTTAATGTTTGAGGATATAGAGATAGACATGTTTGTAGTATTTGATGGTCGAAAGGAGTGATCTAATTGTGCTTAAGCATATGAAAAATGGCGGGAATACAAAATATGATGAACTTGGTAAGGTATAAATAGCCTTTGAATGATTTGACTTGGTCATAATCGTATTAATATATGGATTTATTGACTTGATCAATTCTATAATATAGTAGGATTAAATGACTTAGTCCAATCTCATAACGTAATAAACTTGTTCTCTACTTTCCTTTAAAAACTTGGTCTCTCTTTCAAAAAAAAAAAACTTGGTCTCTAGTTTATATGGATTTGAATTGATGGGAAGTCTACTTTTTAATCTTATATACTTTTATACTGAGTAATATGTGTCACGCATGTGCATTAAACGATTTATTATTTGGAATATTAATTTGTTATAACTGAAACGTAAATTTTATACAATGCCTAGTATTGGACATTGTTTCCAAATAATGCAAAAAATCGACACTCTTTATTACTTCTTTCAACAATAATTAAAAAGATCTTTCAATGATTTTAGTATGATTACAATAGTAAGCAATCACAACCTGTAGCTTTGTTTGGTATTTTATATGTCAAAAAATTTAAATTATTTGGACAGCTAACGCGCGTGATATACATGTCATAGACTCATAGCTAGTCAATTTTAGAAAGCTCTTTTAGTTGTTTGCAATATAATAAGACAAAATAGGTAAATAAATATTTTTGAGGATATAAATGTCCACATGCTATTTTGAGAGTTAATATATATATATATATATATATATATATATATATATATATATATATATATATATATATATATAAAGGACAATTAACGTCAATGAGAGCAAAAAAAAGTAAATAAACATTATAAAGGGTATAGTCGTCAAAACACTATTTATAAAAATTAAATAATTAAATCACACAATAAAAAAACTTAAGAGACAATTAGTATCATATCAATAGTGGTATATAGGTAACAAACATTTTAAGATATTATTGTCCTTACACATTCATAAGTGTTTTCTTATACTCGCTCCCTCCATATTTTATTACTTATACCATTTTCCTTTTGCGGTCTTATTTTATTACTTGCTCTATTTTTTTTTTTTTTGAAAATCTTTTACAATATTTTAGTAATTTCTTCTCTTTTAGTGGACCCATCAACTATTTATTATATGTAGTACTATATTTTAGATTATCTCTCTTCCTAGCTTTCATACTTTATTTTTCCTTCATATTTTATTTCTATATATTATTTCTAGTAAGACTTCGTGAAAGGAGAAATGGAGCAAATAATAAAATACAAAGGGGGTACTTTTTAAAAGATAAGCTACATTAATGCCAATGGAAAGCCACAACCCAAGTAGTTTTTGTAGGTCCCTGCCAATTAACATACCCAGTTTATTTTTTATACAATTCGCACATTTTAATTACCTTTTCAATTAAAATCTATATCTACTTTATTATATATTAAAAAAGCGTTCTTAAAACAGAATATGTGGCATGTGACACCCTTTAAATATATTAGATGTATGCCACATCACCTTTCATATGTATTATATGCCACATCACCATTATACAATAACATGTTTTAATATGTATTGTATGTCACATCATCCATTGTAATATAACATGTTTTAATGACAATAAAAATGCTTGTATTGTATGCCACATCATCCGTTATAACATGTTTTAATGACAATAAAAAATTTTATTATAGGTTTGAACACAAGACCAATAAGAAATGAATTGATGTTCTTACCATCTTTGCTATCTTTCAATTATGCTTCATATTCAATTATAATATACTTTATACTTTGTATTAAACATCAATGTGAGAGCACTTATTTAGTTCCATGGTTATTATTGCTCACTTTTATTTTAATTATATAGTTTATACTCTATACCTCAAATAATATGTATTTATATTCAAAGTAAAACTCGATGCATCGCCTGAGCCACACACTAGTTAAGGTATTATTTGGCGATAGCGGAAAATGTTTTCCTATGGTAATAGGAAATTATTTCCCTACTCTAATTCTTAAAAAGTGGCTTTAGTTTGTCTAGAAGACATTAAGGAAATTACAAAAAATTGGAATTTTATATGACCTAGAGAGACCTAAATAATTTAATTTCTTACATTTTAATTCCGATATTATGTAGAAATTTCAAATTCCCAAGGAATTTAAACTTCCCGTTTTTATTACTTTTTTGGCTAATCTATTAACTAATACTAAAACAAAACATGCTGACATCATCTTTTTCTAAAATTATACACATGACGTTGTCTCATAAAATATTTTCCTGCCTAAATGCTTTAATGACATCATCTTTATTTTTTATTTTATAAAGTCGAACTAACTACTCTATTTTTATTGATTTGAAAATTATTGTATTTATTTTGACTAAAAATTCAAATAGATGCTTCTATTGACTACAATACAAACGATTAATTGTTAGAAGCTAAAATAATAATTTTGATGACATTTGTGCTAATTGTATTGTATATATTTTTTTTTCTTCAGATTTCATTAATATGCATCCTTAAATAATTTTCTTTCGACTATTCAAATTATTAATTGTAAATAATGTGGTTCATATATATCCTTAAATGTAAATTATTTTTATATCTAATTTTAATCTTTATATACAATATAATACAACATAACATAAATTGCATTTAAGATTAATTCTAACCGTGCATCGCACTAGGATAACCTAGTTAAACAACATACCTGCATACCACAATTGTACATCCTAGGAAATTTGAGTGCACATGAAAAGTTGGTATCCTTTATCCAAATAATACCTTTTTTTTTGAAAAATTATCCAAATAATACCTAATTATAGTTGTTTCTGGAAATTAGTAATTGTGGGTTTAAAAATCAAGGAAAAAAATTTAAAACTGAAGGACTATTACGGACTAGTAACTTTATTTAACTTTTGAGTAATATAGTTTCGAAACAACATGAAGCCATAAAAAGAACAATGCGAAAGGGAACCACAAACTCTCAAGGCAACAAAGCGCGCAAACCAGGTTACAAAAGTACAGTTAACTACAAATGAATAAAACTGACAAAGTCTATCTCGATGCATAAATCAAGAATAACTCCGTGGTATATAAATTTACAATAATTCCTAACCGTCAAATTTGTGTAATTTTGTTACCTTATGGTAAATAGTCAGGCTGCTTATCATACTATAGAAGGAAGGTTGCATATCCCATCTCTAACTTTCTGATAAATAAACGGCTGCATTTTTTTTCCTGTACAGATCTCCAAACCCATATAAAACCTTCTTATTTACAGTAACAAGATGAGAATCGAAACTAAAATATTGAAGATTACAGAACTAGATAAATTAGTACTCTTACACTAAGTTTGAATTTAACGAACTTTTTTCACGCGCTTGGATGGTCGAACATAATCCTTTTTTGAATCTTCAAATGTCTTGATTTCTTTATATGTCTGTGTTTTAAGGGTTGTTAAGAAATTTGAAAGAGAACAAATGCACAGCCCAAGAGTACTAAAATGAAATACCAGCATCATTTTCTCAGTTTATACAAACAAACAAGAACTTTGCTTTGTTTCAGATTTCTAGCTTTTCTGCACTAAGTATATAACATTAAATATATATGACAGGACGAATACTATGGCAGATTACATAATAACTCATTCAAAAATACCAAGGGCAAGAAGTAGCAACCTTTGTATAATGAAGAACAATATTTCTACAACTTGGAAATAAAGGAGAAAAAAAAAATTGAAGACTCATGCACCTCAAAGCTTGATCAGCTTCACATAAAAGCAGGCAACTTCTATATAAATATTCTCCGATTCAATCTTAAAGCAACAGCAGACATAAAAGAAAACACCATCTAACTTTCCAAAAAAAATCATAAACATGTGTGGTCTAATCTAGATGCAGAAACACATGATGCACATCATAATAGTGATTACAATTCAAAAAAAAAAAAAAAAAAATAAATAAAATAGTGACTTTAGCAAATTCCTCAGAATTCAGAATTCTCTTGGGTCAGATACGCACACAGGAAACACAACCCCTATTCTTTTTCTGTTCACGCCGACTTTCAACATTCAATCCCCACACATATCATTCATAATTTGCCTTTTAATGGCCAAAAATTTACCCGACAATTTCTAGCTATATCTTGCAGACAGCAATAGTTAATAATCATGTGTGGTCCAATTCCAAGCATAAACGTATTGCATTGAACCAACATCATATCAATTCATCGCAATGCTTTTCAGTCATCTTTGGTCTTATCTTTCGGCAGGGAGGGTGGAGCTGGTAAAAGGGATAAGGGAGTTCAAATTTAATAAGTACAGTATAGCTAACTTCTTTCATAGATTCCATTCTGCTGAAGCAGCCATTCCTCATTAGGTAGGAGAAATTTTTCAAAATGAACAAGAGTTTCTAATTTCTATAAACATATAAATGACACATAGACATACTACATAGTGTTTGGATTCAAAAATCGCACAACTGGCTAAATCAATGTGCAGGGGCCATTAGAATTAAGTATAGGTGATGATTATAGATTAACTTGGCGAGATAAAAAATAGATGAAGTTTCACAAGATAAGATTGGGAAAAAAGAAAGAAAACTACCATAAACCACAGGAGTGTTGTTATAGTAAAAATCAGAGATAAAGTCTAAAAAGACAGAAATTGACTATAAATCTATTAGTTTGCATAAAAGGTTGATGCTTTTAACGTGATGATGCAGTTAATAGTATTCTGAAGCTGTTATTGTTTAGCAATGTACTTTGATACATACTCAGTGATTGGTAATGAAAATATATACGGTAAAACAGATTCAGTTCTTCATGAGACAAAATGTAAAATTACAGAAAATCCCACGTAGAAAAAGATTTAGCAATAGGGACACGTGAATTTGTTAAGGTTACCTCTTCCCATCTTCGCTGAAGTTCAAGAAGTTTTTGACAGTAATCAAGGCACTCAGCATGGTAAGCAGCAGCCAAGTCTTTAATCAAAGCTTTCCGTCTGATGATACCAATCACTTTGCAGATGCAAAACAAGTACCCAAAGAAAAAAGGAGATAAGATTTTAGATAACTTCAGTACTAACATTCAAGAATAGTAAATGAAAACGTGTGTCAAAACCCTAAATCATTATGCCAAAGATGAACAAAAATCATACAAATAGATTAGACTTCTATTGCCTGAGCACCAAACAGCCAAAGAAAAGAAATCACAGACAGGAAACACGTTGGCACATCCGAACCAAAACAAATTGGGAAATTCTACATGGTGGCCTCTAAGATTTGGAAATTCTATTTGGTGGAAATTTTTTTTGGCCATAGTTTCCAGTGACCCTCTAGATTTGATTAACTCTATGTAGTGTGCAAATTTTCATTAAAATGGCTAACTCATTGGTTTATGGTTAATTTTTTAACCTAAATAAAGTAAATTACTAACTTACCCTTTAGTTAATTAACACCAAACCACACTACCACCATCATTGACATCACAACCATCCATCAGTCTGCTGTTAACCCCACAGTATGCACAACCGCCGCAACCACCCCAAAAAACCAGCGAGTTCCACCACCGGAATCCACCCCTTCATCCAAAATCAACTTCACTGCCCAAAAAAACCCACCTGCCTAGCCTAGCCACAAAACACAGCCGCCTCCACCAATCACGAAAACCCACCCATCTCCATCAACTGAATTCACCCCTCCTCCAGATCCAAGCTCACCAACCAAAAACCCACCACAACCACCTAAATCGTTCTTCCCCAAATTCACTCACACCGCTTCGAAAATCTGCCCCCACCATCACAAAAATCTCGCCCCGCCTTGAAAACCCAGACCTACTACCCCATCCTCACGCTAACTGCCCAAAACCCACCTAAATCGTAGTGGTTGTGTCATGGCTGCTGCTAGGTTGAGCGAGGGAATGCGAGTAGTGGATGTTGCTTGGTGGATGTTACTTGGTGCTCCACTGGGTGCAAGAAGCTAAGGGCTGCCGGGGTAAGGGGTTAGTTTTGGGTGGAGGGTGGTGATGTGGGTTAGTAATTTATCAAGGGTGTAGGTTAGTGATTTAGGTATTAAGGTTAAAAATGAAACCAAAATCAGAAATGGTTAGTCATTTAATAAAAAAAGGTCACTTAATAGATTTATACCATTCTATAAGATCACTATAGAATGTGGCAAAAAAAAAAAAAAAAAAAAAAAAAAAAAAAAATTCCACCAAATAGAATTCCCATATGTTCTCCCAAACAAATATTTAGAAACAAATCACGTTCCCTAGATAATCAACAAGGTGCAACAACAATACAAAGCCGTCTAAATTTACGAAGGGCTACTACACATACTTAAATACAGAAGCTCGGTATAAGAATTTATACAATAACCTCGTTGGTGGTCGGATCATTAGTTCAAATTAAACCATCAACGTGACAATCAATTCCAGACAGCAGGAGCATTATTGTTATCCGGTCAGAGCGAGCAACATATAAGGGTCATTATATCCAATAAATTTGAAGCCATTATAAACGGAAACTTGAATATCCAAGACCCGTAATTTGATTGATTATAAATGCTTGGATTATAAACTCAATTTCACTAGCTGTAAACATGAATATCAGCAAACATTCCTAAACATAATTACTATAAAGAACTACTATAATTTCAAAAAATAAAAAATAAATAAATAAAAAACCCTAACATCATTGAACTAAAAATCAGAATAAAAAGCACCGAAATATCAGAAATAATAACACACATTCAGAAAGTGTTGAAACAAGAAATTGATAATGCTATAAGGAAATTGACCAAGAAAAAAGGAAAAATGGGACATGAATTAGAAATTTAGCAAAAATTGTTTAGATGAGAGAGAAAATACTTCGACTAGGGTCGAACTCGGGAACAGGGGTTGAAGGATAGGATTGCGGTTGCGAAGATTCGGGTAGCTGAGGCTGCGGCTGCGGCGACGGTTGAGGCTGCGGCTGCGGCGACGGTTGAGACTGCGGCTCCGGCGAAGGCTGCGGCGATGGTCGAGACGGCAGCTGCGGCGGTGGAGCTGATGAATGTTCTTCAGGCATTGTATGAGGGCAAAGCTTCCGACGGGATTTGTCCCAAAATTAATTTAATACAGTTTTGCGCCTGCTATTAGTAAACAACTAAACATAACCTATGCGCTGGTGTGAGTGTGCGACACACTATTGGAGTAGGAAGGATAATGGTGAAAGACAGGATGTTTATACAAGAGTATAAAAAAAACTCCCTTGTGCCTTATCTACATGTCTACTTCTTATTTTACACGGAAAGAAAGAAATTTAGAGTTAGTGAGAAATAAAAGGTAGTTAGTAATTATTAAAGAGACGAAAAGAGAAAGTGTTGAAAAACAATGTCAAAAATACAGAAAAAATAAAAGATGTTATAAAATAAGGAGAAATATGAGAGAAATTGAAAGAGAAATTAATTAGTCTGTATTATTCCATAGAATGGGGATATATATATACATACAATATAACTAGGGTTTGCTTAGATAACAATAAACCCTAGATCTATAATATTCCAAATTGATAAAGGAGATAATGGATATCCACACAACATAATATTTCATAACACTCCCCCTTGGATGTCCATATCGAAGAGTGTGCCTCGTTAAAACCTTATTAGGAAAAACCCTGTGGGATAAAAAAAACCTAATGAAGGAAAAAGAGTACAACATTCTTCGTAATACGCTTGAGATGCCGCCTCATTAAAAACCTTACCAGGAAAACCCAATGTGGGACAAAACCATGGTCAAGGGAAAAATAGTGCAGCGCGTATTTTCTCCCCCTGATGAATACATAACTTAAGATCTTCTAGTGCCGCAACAATGAATCCAATATGGTTGGATATCTTCTAATATGTAGTCAAATATCATTCGTTGGTCTTTGATCCTCCTAAACTGAAATTGCATCTTCAAGTCTTCAAGGGAACATATAAAGTGTATTAATTTTACCATATATGGATTTATCTCTATATCATTCCAAACCTTTGTTTGAATAAAGTTACTTTAAACTTATGCGGCAACGCCTTTTTCTGGAGGTCGTGAATAATAGAAATCAATGATCATTATTTGATCAAACATTCCTTAATGGCAACACGTGATATTGTTAATGTTGCTATTCAATCTCGTATGAATTAATATAACATATATAATTATATACATTGATCATGGTTCTTCTAGACCATAATAAAACATTCTCACACATAAGTATTCCATTGATATTCTTTAGACGTTTCATAATTGACATGATAGCTCTCTTGCAAATACAAAATGCAAATCTCACTAACTTTCATATGCTCAAACTTCAGGTTGAGATGTCAATGATGTAGTCACATAAACTTTTCAAGAATTTGATAATAATTGCAATATTCAAGATATAAAATTTGGAGGGCTATAAATATGTTGCATATAAGTTCTTCGGGAACTTTTCTTACATGATTCATAAATAATATTAGATCAACGTCATATATAATTTCATCATAATTATAAGCCCATTGGAATATAAATATGACTTTCCTTCCATCAAAGTTGTAAATATGTCTTACTATATATATAATGAACATTTACATATACCACAAATATTATATAGAAACTAATGCATGCAATTTGAGATATAGAAATCATGATAAAATATTGAGCAAAATGTACAATGAGTAATGCATATAACAACTTCCTACACATGCAATAAGTAATTCATTAACCTATGCCTCACACATGCACATGAACATAAGACTCAAAATGATGCAAGACACTGTACAATGTGGATTTAAAAATCCATATTTCATTGGACTTCTGGTCTATAATAAACTTTTGATCATTTTATGTCAACATCAAAATGGACATATATATATTTTAGATCCCTTATTCATTAGTCCATTCTATCATGCATATTATTCATCGGTTCCATTGTGTACCGGAATCATAAAATTCTTTAATGTACATCCGCATGCTATTTTGTAATGATATCTGAATACATTTCCAATTGGTACGTACCATTATGACTTTCTCATGTCATAGGCTATCTATTATAGTTCAGATATCTATATATATACCACTTCTATTTGGGGTATTTCATACTTTATGGTATTTATATACTATTACACTGTTTAAAAATGTTAACTGCACTATCTTGCCACATATCATATCTTTATTTTGGAACCGATCACACAACCTACACTTCAGGTGTAGTGATTCAAGTATAATTGACAAGATTTTATCTCAATGTATACACATAATATGACCAAAAAGTATCTTCAACGCTATGCAACATGAGTCATAACTAAATACAAATCAAATCATAAATGTGCAACATATCTTGATAATATATAGACAAAAGTTGGCATATAACTTTTCAAACTACCTTTATAGGGATCATCAATTATATTTTTCGATTTTTCCAACTTTTGCTAATTCTTCTTCCCCTAAGTTGGTAAAATATCTCATTTATAGGGGCGTCTAATTCTATACCAACTTAATATACAAATTTGCATTAAAATTCTTTTCATCAGGAGGATCACAATCAAAATAATTATCTTAGAAGATTTGTATTAAACAAGTTTTATCTCTTCTAGAGAACGATTTCAATGAAGAATAATTTCTTTATTAACTTTACATTGCATCTGTATTTACTGTTACACTTTCCATTATATGCTCTCTTTTGGAGATCAATGTTAATGGGGAGACATGTGTTGTGCAGTTGTACATTTTTCTTTCTTTTCCAATTTCTCATGTGCTGACATATAATAGCCCCAATCAAAAGAATTATTATCCAAGCATAAATCACTTGCTTGGAATTCTGGTGAACTTCTGGTCACCCATTACTCTTGACATTTTCATCAATACAAATTGTTATAAATCACTATTCAATAATAGCTCAATCTCAATGTTATGTCTTGCCATTTAATTCATTTCATATATGCAACAATGAGAGAGCGTCAGCACATTATCAAATGAAACTTCAAGTTTCCATAACGGGTAATTATTAAACCCGGATGACCTAATTTAATTATCACATCCAGTCACTTTCTAAATTTGAACTCTGGTCAGTATTCCAACAGTAGTGATCACTTTATTAAAATTACTTTATACATGGTCATAAATATGATGTGATATTAGAATACCAACATGTGTTTCTTTATATAATTGGCAAGACAATCAACTAATACTTGATCCAAAATTTTATACTCTGCTGGAGCTTTGACTATAATCTTGATACATGCTAAGTTTGTTGGACATTCTATACTCTTCTAGAGTAATCTATATATCATGGTATATATCTATTCATATCCATCTTTAGGATGGTATCATTTTGAAATATATTAATTAACATGTGGCCACTTTTATTAAATGAAACACTTATATTTAAGTTAATGTATGTATCAGACTGACCATCAATATATTTTATTATTTATGTGCAAGGATTACATAAAATAATGAAATAAATATTATCTCCCCCTAATTCTTGCATGTGGAGGCATTAAACTAATCCAACTACCTTTAAATCTCTTGCACCTTTTAAGCCATAAATTCTTTTATCAATGCATGTATCAAGCAAAGTAAAATGATTCTTATAAAACTTTTACTTGTTTCTCTTGCCCAATTATATTAATCTTTATATTGCAAATTCTTACAACTATGGGCATAATAAATACATTTTCGAGTAAGGTGCTCACAATATCATGTTTAATTTATTAAACTCATAAGCGTTATTTCTCGGCCAAATATATAATATATAATCATGTTTTTGCTATTATTATTTAATGAATCATAAATAAGAAAACATCATGCAAACATGCTTATTATCCTTTCAATCATACAAATCCTCATTTACTTTAGGGAGTGAGTAAATCTAGTAATTTTTGAATCACCCTTTCACACCCACCCAAGGTTCGGTGTCTAGATACTATTGAAATTCTTTTGTATATACTTTCCTCATGACATTGTATTTATAGAATCACACTATTTCTAGTATTGTGAAATGTGAATGTAGATTGTTTAAGCAACATACTATATTAGAAAATAATATAGATATTTAAGTCATATACATATCATAATATTATTTTTTAAGGCTTTCTGACTCTTCATAAATTAAACAAATTTCAGGTCCATATGTATGAATATATCATGTTCAATTTATGCATCATTCTTGCAATCCAGCTTCATGTAGGCATATTATATCATATAAAATCAAATTTAAACACGCATCAATTAATATTTCAACATTGGGATCATGTCAATATGTTTTATAATAATATTAACTTATAAGGTTACTAACATGTCATGTCAGCTGAAAAACCATACTTGAGAAATTTCACAGAATCCAACATATCAAGGTCATACATGAAACTTATATAGCACATATTCACTATACACATCATCCACACTTATAAAGTACCTATGATTTATGTAAAACACTTTAGAGAAATAATTCTTCATAGTTAAAATCCCTACATCACGATACGTATATCACATGTGAATAAACATGGCTCCTGTCATGTATTTAGAAAATGAAAACTAACTTCTTAGGTGAATAACATATTATATGTATAAACAACAATTTGGGATTATGTACGAAATAATTTCAACATAGTGCAAAATCTCATTAAAACTTCCTACGTAGTACAATGACACATAGATATATAATGACGCAGTTGAGAATATTCATCGTTGCGGAAGACATTTACTATCCTTTTGAGACTAGATTAAAATTCACATATTAACAAGAGTAGTAAACAGGTGAACTATTTCAAAATAAAGAAGCCAAAAATTAAACATAAGTGTGGCCTGATACCTACATGACTTTATTTTGGAAGCAACCACACCATCCAATCTAGAACATTTTATTCTCGACTTTTTCCACTGTATATAGTTTATATACACGAAAGATATAACTTATGTTCATCACGAAGGCGTCAAAAACTGTAGGGTTTCGTAGTGACCCGACACTACGCGGAAGGAAACCCACCAAGATCCGCCCCTTAATTAAAACAATTAACAAGCATATTAAACTTAATCAAACAAGATTAAGAACAAGAATTATACCTTTGACGCGTGCTTCGCTCCCAAAGAGCTCTTACTTCAAAATTCCGAAAACACGAGATCTCCGACGGATTGTACCCTCGACCCGACCCGAGCGTCCTAAGTCTTGAAGGTTAGTCAAGACCCGGACAAAATAA